GCCAAGTGTGTAGGGCCCCCACCACCCCACCCCGGCTCAGCAATCGGCTGCGGGGGGACCCCCGGGTGTCCCCCCAGATCGAGGAGGCACTGAGCTGGGGGAGAGATGGGGGGCCCCCTGCATGCTCTCTGGCGGACCCGAAAGTGGACTGGAAGTGCTTCTGTGAGTGTGCTCCAAGTGTGCTGGGAAGCCCCACACACTCCTTTGGGATGCTCCATCCACCTCATCACAGCATTCATGAGCCACCTGGTACCTTGAGGTGTGTAGAGAAAACATTTAAAGCTGTGTCTATGTCTGAATTGCTGAATCTTTTGGAATCTCTCCAAATCGCTTGAGAGATAAATGGGTCTTCTGATTCTATTCAGATTCGAACATTTGGCCACAGAATCGGGCCGAATCTCCATTGAATTGAATCAGGGACCAAAGCTTTGCATAGCCCTAATAGCTAGGGCCACCTGAAATTCTTTTCCAGTTTGGGGCAAATAGAAGCCAAGAAGTAGTAGTAGTAGTATTGGACCAAACACTTATAGTATGGTAGTACCCAAATACCCCAGTCAGATCGGAGACTTCATTGGAAAGGGCACTCCATGGCCAAGCTAGTGCTGGTGAAAATTTATAGACCAGCTGATCGACTTGGATCCCTCAACAGAAGGTAAGAGAAGTTGCTGAAAAGGGCAGAGAATCATAGAATCATAGAGAAATAGGACTGGAAGGGATCTCCCTGGGTCATCTAGTCCAACTCCACTAAGAAAAGGCAGCTGGCAACAGATTTTCTGAAGCACCATCATAGAAGCTGCAGCATGAATACACTGAATCTGTGCATTCCCGTCCCATGACCCATATTCCTCAGGTTTGGAATGTGCTGGCCACCTGACAAAGAGAACAGAAGATATAACCATTTTTTAAAGTCATATCCTTTTCTCTTTCTACCTCTGGGGAATTTTACAATGTCTCTAAACTAGGAGTTAATGTGTAGTAATGTGCTCAAACCTTTAAAGGATTATCAAAATATCACCCCTGGCTCAATATAATTACTATCAACTATTGCCCTAAGTATCTGTATACATCAGTGGAACGTATTCATTTGTACTACTTGGGGAAAGACACTGTTCTTTTATGCAAAACACTATGAAAAATATGGCCCTATATAATCATGCTGTTACATGTGTCAGGTTTTTTTTTAAGCTTTCTTCAGAAGCATTGGGCTTTGGATGCAGTCAAGGCTGGGGATTTTTACTGGGGTGTATCAACGCTCCTGATCAGATTTCAGTCTGGAGGTTCCTGGGTAAAGGTTCTTGCTCTTCTGCTCAGAGTCAGACTGAACTCCATATGTAGGGTCCAGAAGCAATTTTTCCCCCAAGGCTAGATTGGTACAGACTGTGGGAAACACCTTCCTCTGTAACAGGAGGCATGGATCTCTTTCTTGGATCTTTTGAGCCTTTTTAACAACCTTGCAGCCGCAGGGCATTGGCTACCATGGTCTTGCTGCTTTACCTGTAGCAGATTAGGGTATTATGTCCTGTGGTTGTGTCAGGGTTGACTGTGTAGTTTTGCTAAGAG